AGCCTTACTATAAAGTTTGGACTAAAGCTAAGACTTTGTACAATGATATACAACGTATATACAAAGTTGTATCAGATTTAGTCCAACTACAACAAAATAATCAAGATATGGCGAGTTACATAGGACAAATAGATACCTTAAAAGAATAATTTGACTCTCTCATGCCACTATCTGCAAGTGTCACCACGCAAGAGCAACAAAGGGATAAGTTCTTTATGGTTTTGGCACTGAAAGGACTTCGATCTGATCTTAGTCCTGTAAGGGATCAAATATTGGCAAGTTCTACAGTTCCTTCCTTAGTTGAAGTCTCTGCCCGATTATTGCGTGTTGGTTCAGAAACACTTGATACTACTAAAATTGAGACATCTTTGTTAGCTGTGCAAAATGACAACTCACAGGAAAAAAATTTCTCACTAAAGAGGAAAGGTAAAAGCTCTAGACCCTACTGCAAATATTTCAACAAGCCAGGCCATACTCGACAAAACATGTTGGAAACTGCATGGTCGACCATCACGTACTGACTATTGCAGTACAACCCACATGGTTCAGGCTCGTGGAGATACAGATAGTCAACCGGCTGATTCTATTACTCTATCTTGAGTGGATTATAGTGATTACTTGCAGTATCAAACGGCCAAACAACAATCACTTTCATCTAGCACCTCACAAATCGGTAATTCCTTTGCTTGTCTGACCAGGTCTTCACCCACTTGCTCGTGGATATTGGATTCTGGTGCATCTGATCATATTTCTAGTAATCACAATCTTTTCTCAAACCTTGTTTATTCCTCAAACCTCCCTACAGTTACCCTTACTAATGGTTCACGAACTGAAGTAAAAGGAATAGGAGAAGTGCAACTTCTTTCCTCTATTTCTTTAAACTCGGTCTTATTTGCTCCCGAATGCCCATTCAATTTAACTTCCATTAGCAAATTAACCAAAAACCTCAGTTGCTATGTCAAAATTATTGGCCAACTCTGTTGTTGTACAGGACTAGAGTACGGGAAAGACGATTGGAGCAAGATATGAGTCATATGGACTATATCATATGTCCAAATCACAACCGCCAGTTGCCTTCACTTCCGCTACCTCAGTTGATCTTCTCCACAACCGTTTAGGCCACCCGAGTCTTGTAAAGCTTCAGAAAATAATTCCTAGTCTTTCCACGTTGTCTCATTTTAAATGTGAGTCTTTTCAACTTGTGAAACACACTCGCATTTCGTTTCCCAAAAGAGTCAATAATAGGGCCTCGTCTATGTTTGACATTGTTCACTCAGATGTATGGGGTCCTAGTCGTGTTGTTTCAAGTTTAGGACTTCAATATTTTGTTGCCTTTATTGATGACTTTTCTCGTTGCACATGGGTATTTTTAATGAAAATCGTTTAGAATTATTCTCTATCTTTCAAAAATTTTGCACTGAGATAAATAATCAATTTGGTGTTTCAATAAAGGTACGTAGTGAAAATGCCAAGGGGTATTTATCATATTCATTTTCCAGATTCATGTCATCTCAAGGGATTACTCGTCAGACTTCTTGCGCATATACTCCTCAACAGAATGGCATCGCCGAACATAAAAATCGGCATCTTATTGAGACAGCTCGTACCTTACTTATACACCATCATGTTCCTCTTCGCTTTTGGGCAGATGTTGTTCTCACTGCTTGTTATCTGATCAATAGAATGCCCTCTACCGTGTTTCAATATCAAAGTCCTCACTCAATTCTCTTTCCTGGTCAAAATCCCTATCATCTACCTTTGAGAGTGTTTGGATGTACCTGTTTTGTTCATGATCGCAGTCTTGGTAATGAAAAACTCCAACCAAAATCTATTAAGTGTGTCTTTCTTGGATACTCTCGTTATCAAAAAGGTTACAAGTGCTATGATCTGAAAGCACATAAATATTTTATCAGTGCGGATGTAACCTTTTTTGAAACATCTCCCTATTTTCCACTAGACACTACAAACAAGAATTTGGTTCCTCAAGTTTTGCCAGTGCCTATCTTTCCCGTGCTACAGGTTAGTCTTCCAGACACCCCTCAAGTTGTTCCCCCTCCTCTTCCTCCTATTGCTAATACCAATAATAGCACTACTCCTGATCCAGATACATTGGTAACTTCTGATGACTCATATATTGCTCCTCCGTCAGCTACTCCAGTCATTCCTTCATCCGACGCAGCGACTCCACCAATTGCCATACGCAAAGTTATACGTACTACTCGACAACCAGAAAGATATAATTGTTTAAGTTATCATCGGTTGTCCCCATTATATTATACCTTTGTATCTACCCTATCTAATATACCTATACCAAAGACTATTAGTGAAGCATTGGAACATCCAGGATGGAGAGATGCTATGATCGAAGAAATGACTGCTCTAGAGACCAATAACACTTGGGATTTGGTCCAGTTACCAGAGGGAAAATCTACTTTTGGATGTCGATGGGTCTATACAGTAAAAGTGGATCAGATGGAAAACTTGATCGATTGAAGGCTCGCCTTGTTGCCAAAGGATACACCCAAATCTATGGACTTGACTACGGTGATACATTCTCCGATTGCCAAGATTGCATCTGTTCGACTGCTTATCTCCTTAGCAGCAATGCATCAATGGTCACTTCATCAACTAGATATTAAAAATGCTTTTTTACATGGCGAGCTCGCTGAGGAGGTTTATATGGAGCAACCTCCTGGGTTTGTTGCTCAGGGGGAGTCAGACTTCGTATGTCGTCTAAATCGTTCGCTATATGGCCTCAAGCGATCTCCAAGAGCATGGTTTGGTAGATTTAGCTCTGTTGTCCAACAGTTTGGGATGTCACGGAGTGAAGCAGATCACTCTGTTTTCTATCGACATAATGATCTAGAAAAGAATATTTATTTGGTCGTTTATGTTGGTGACATTGTCATAACTGGAAATGATCAAGAATGAATATCTCAGCTAAACCAACATATATTCAAATATTTTCAGACCAAAGACTTGGGGAAGTTAAAGTATTTTTTGGGAATCGAGGTAGCACAGTCTAAGACAGGCATTGCTATCTCACAGAGAAAATACGCTTTGGACATACTTGAAGAGACATGCATGTTAAACTCTAAACCTGTTGACACTCCTATGGATCTAAATGTCAAACTCGTGCCTGGACAGGGGGAGCCATTGGAAGACCCTAGCAGATACCGAAGATTGGTCGGTAAACTAAATTATCTCACTATCACACGACCGGATATTTCATTTGCAGTAAGTGTGGTTAGTCAGTTTCTCCAAGCTCCGTGCAAAGATCATTGGGATGCAGTAATTCGTATTCTGAGATACATAAAAAGAGCTCCAGGACAAGGACTGATATATGAAGACAAAGGTCACAAAAACATTGTTGGATATTGTGATGTAGATTGGGCAGGTTCTCCATCAGATAGACATTCTACTTCTGGGTACTGTGTCAAGATTGGAGGGAATATAATCTCTTTGAAAAGTAAAAAGCAAGACGTTGTTGCTAGATCCAGTGCAGAAGCAGAATATCGAGCTATGGCCCTTGCCACATGTGAGCTTATTTGGTTGAAACAACTCCTCCGAGAGTTAGAATGTGTCGAATTCAAACAGATGAAACTTATATGTGACAATCAAGCTGCCCTTCATATTGCCTCTAATCCCGTTTTTCATGAAAGAACGAAACATATAGAGGTGGATTGTCATTTTATTCGGCAGAAGATTGAGTCCGGATGCATTGCCACCAGCTTCATCGGTTCAAATGACCAGTTGGCAGATGTGCTTACTAAGTCTCGGATTGATCACATTTGTAGCAAGCTTGGAGCATATAACATGTACGCTCCAACTTGAGGGGGAGTGTTAGATATTTTCAGAGAGTATTTCAAATATTAGATTGTATGTCGGATAGATAGTCAAATATTGTAGGTAGAAGGCGTGATCTGAGGGATGCATTGTTGACTTATGTGTCTAGCTTTTGTGTATATATTCTCGATGTAATCTATCATTTTAAGTATGAAGTGAACTAATACACTTACATCATTCACAGATGAGAAGAAGTCAGAGCAAAAGTCAAAACAAGAGCTGAACATTGGATTATATACAACCTCGTGAACATTACAACCAATCAATCGAGAGTCTTCTATACATTTAGAAACTTTTTATTTATTCCCGAACGCATAAGAAAAGGTAGCTTCTCCTGCTATGACTACCTCTCTATTTTCAAAAGTATATAGAAATGGTAGGCACTGGGAGTGAATGAACTACCCGGGGAGAAAGGGGCAACCTCTCTATAGAAGGGAGCCAGTTAACTATTTTGATTCTTTTAGCGTGGGCTAAGACTTTTTGCTTTTCTTACTATTGATTGAGACCTAGCCTCTCTCCTTTGGTTCGATGCTCGGTCATCACGCCCTGTGTATGCTCTGTACCTCCTGCGTTTTCCTTACCAAGTGTGTGCTCCACCATTGCGCCATCTTTTTGTGCTAATACCCCACGTGCTGACCATGTCTCTGTGCCAACACCTCCTTTGGTCGCCTCTTTTCACTTGGCCCCGTCCTTGGCCTTCATGGCTGTTGTGGCATGCACAAGATTCCAATGTTTTCTGGTAAGGTGTGACAATAATCACCAATGAATTTCCAACTTCTCTTGCCTCGAAAGCGCTCTTTTAAGGCCAAACTCAACTAACCGCTTCCAACAGGTGAAATAAATTCCATCGTTGCACCGTACTATCACCTATTTTTTTCGCATATGCAAGCACATAAGACTCAAAGTTTAACACATACTCATGCACCCAGGGTCGGGGCATTACGCCATCCCTTCAAGCGATAAACAATGATTACTTATCCCTATTCTGAGGTAAACTCCTACTTTCTCTGAAGCCCATTGAAAGTTGTGTTTTGTTTATACATTCTGTCCAGAAACTCATTGCTTATTTCTGGTTCCGATGGTAGGAGAGTCCCTAGCTGGAAAGTCATTCCATGTGTCTTAAGTAACTCAATTAGATGCAATAACAAGAAGTATTAATGGAGTCAATCCGAAGTTCTACTCCTCGAATTTGAATTTGATGGGTAAAACTTGATTAGAAAGAGACATTGATAGCAATACATGCTCCTATATGCTTTAAGCAAGAAACTAATATGTAAAGATCACAACAATCAGCACATCGTCTAGTCTCCTAATGCTCTGTAAGTAAGGAGATCGGTGCAAGATCCAACTCTTCAAACATGAAACGTACAGAGTGTTCCCTATTTGAAGCTTTTGGGTAAAATGCATGAGGACAGCTGAGCAGACATGCTTATTTCTTCTACAGTTTGTTTGCAGTATAAGAGGGGACAGTTGCCAAATCATTTCTTCTTGAAGAGGAAATGTGCAACCATCCATTCTTCTCCATTGTTGTAGCCAAACAGTTCAGCAACTGAAATGAAAAACGTTCTCCAATAGACAGTCCACTTAACAGCTGAATCCTTCCCATAAGTTGACTCCATTATTGGCTTTATCGAAGTTTTGTTCTGGTCCATTCTCTTAAGCCATTCTTCACTGAAAAGGGGTATTCTAGTTTAGTTGTTTGATCAAATGAGCAAGGTTATTCTCGTAAGCTAAAACCCATTAAACAGCACCACAGATGATTTTTCCTTCTTTTTTATTTAAAATATTCAAATTGGCAAACCATGTCATTTTATCGCTCATACATCAATCATGTTCTATATAAGCTCACCTTGTCTGTGCATAATGCTTTCCGTTAACGAGCCAGTGATTAACCACAGAAACATCATCCTGCATGCAAACATCACCTTAAACATTAAGCAATCACAAAATGGTTTAAGGCCACAAAAGGCATGTTCTTTCAAATGCAAAATACTTGTTTCTTGTGATTTCTGGTAGTTGTTAGTCATTTATAAATCTTTCAATGGAATGTGATCGAATGTACTAGATGTAAGCAACAAGCAGCATGTTGGATTTTATAAGCTCACCTGAAAATAAAGGAGGAGATTTGCAGAAGGCATTGTACCTCCACTGAAGAAGTAGCGAGTGATCCAATCATCATCATTGACATCCTGCAGAAAATTATATACTATATCTGTAATTGAAGTAGGGAATGATTGATAGTCGAATTTATTCTAGTGAATAGATTCGTCATCATCTAAAAACCAATGCATCAGCAGATCAATGTATGTACCTCGAAGTGGTAAGCGAATGCCTTGTGGCAAAAATAATGAACAAAAAGAAGACTATCTGGCTTCATCCATCTGGAGATCTTCTTGAGGAGATCTCCGTAGTTCTTCATATGCTATGAAGTGAAAATATTTATTAGCTATATATCGTAACTGTAAATTGTAACCTGAGAACAAATACTCTGTTTAAACTCAATACCTCAAACATTTCAATAGACAATATTCGATCATAGGAACCTTCCATCTCAAATGTGCTAATATCTGCAACTATGATCTCCACATTCTGCAGCTGAAGTTCCCTAAACACACAAACCACAGAAAAATAAGATAGTTTTCAATATAGAACTTGATCTTTCCATTATTTTAGAAGAGAAACTATACAAACCCATATCAAAAAATCAACATTTAGAAAATTTTGTCCAGCTATAGGAACACCACAATGTGTACACAATCCACATAGTGGTGAACGTTTTGAGGGAAGACTCTGGTTAAATTAACATAATAAAGATTCTCAGATGAGTTTATTTAAATGATAACTAGAGCCAACACCAAATGGATTTCGTAACAGCAAGTTTGAAAGACTAATGAAGCAGGATATTTTTTCTTTTGATAAGTAAATGAAGCAGGACTTAGAAACGCTTATATGTTTCCTGAGTCAACATAAAACATAACGACAGTATGCTTTAGATCATCAAAGCAAATCAAAAGGAGTACCGGCATTGCTCTTCGATATGTGCTTTTTGAGTCACTGAATTGCAAATTCCAGTAATTTTGCAGCTACTGTATTTTTGTGCTATGTATAGAGAAAGAGATCCCCAGCCACATCCAACATCTAGTATAGTGTGTCCATCTTTCAACTGTGACCTTTCACAGTATAATTCCATCATTGCTTTTTCAGCATCCACTAAAGTGCTTGACTTGTCGTGGAAATAACAGCAGCTGCTTATATCAAACATAAACCAAGTAAGACTATCAGATTAAATTTGAACAGCGTATGTCGTGATAAAACAGGACATTATTATTGACTTCTTCTGATAGTATCACTCTCTTAGAAGTGCAACATACAGGAATAAAGTATGGCAATGAGAATGGAGTACTACAAAATGTATATTTGTAACCCAGAAGGAGGGTGAAACTTTAGAGTTATGGAGATACTTGCCTGTATTTGAAGTGCTTTCCAAGAACAAACTTGAAGAAAGACGTAGGAAGCTCGTAATGTTGGGACTTCGCCTTCTCAGTCATCACAGCTATAGGCATCTCTCTTAAAGCTGTAAGAGAAGCAGCCAGTCAATATTCTATAAAGGATGAAGCATGAAATTCCAGGCAAGCAATCGAAGTGCATCCTTATTAGCATAAAGCATATACTAGGCGTAGCACATTAGTCCTGTTCTCTCCGGGCTACCAGCATTATGTACTCAATGCAACTGGTTGGGCATTCTAAGGTGCCATTGTTCCAAATTTTAGTGTCTCAAGACCCAAATTCCACATTATTTTGACACTTACGCATACAGAATAACAGATAAAACTATGAACATAGCAGTATTTCATCATCTTCAGGGTCACACAGCCCTTTGTTGCCATCAGATTACTAATAATAGACAAGTTATAAAAGTTGAGCTAAAAGCTGAGCCAAAAGCTGGCCATGTATCATATACTATTAACAGAATCAAATACTTTATTACTGTGTGTCATATGAAACTCACCTTGGTTTAAATTAACAGAAAGCCTCACTTTTTTTCTAGGAAGCTGTCCCTATAGATCTTCTCGTGATACTCAAATACAAAAGAAGGTTGTACAAAATAGAGCATTGTGTTCCAAAATATATAATCCCTGCATTACTTATGCCAATTGACAAATTATTTATACCGAGTTCAATGTGGAATACACATATGATTAGTAATACCTACATAAAAACACGTAAATGTCAGAAATGTACTTTAAATTATTAAGTACGACTTAGTTAAACAATAATATTATTATTATAGTCCTGTATAACTTGTCTTTTAGCCAAACAACCCCTAATACTACATTCTAAAGTAATCCGTTATCCTTACTAAAGTTTCATTGGGACAGTAAATCAAGATATCTCGTCCAGCTGAAGTTGGTTACATTCCTTAATCCTTCCATTGCTAAATCTCAGCTTGTAAAATAGATTTTCTACTGCTTTTGGTTCACATGCATAATCCGCCTAGAATATTCCTAAAAATTGAGAAGTTACACTAAATTCTTCAAATTACAAGCTCCAGCAAAAAAGTGAAACTTCACCATAGAACTCGGAAACAAAGTTTAACCCACAATATATACACTGTGCTTCAGTAGTAGTGGAAAAACAATGATTTTCTGAAATTAAAACTGAACTTGAACTTTACAAAAAAAATGTTAGAGAAAAGTGCGTACAGTGCACAAACTGGAGAAGGTCAGAAAGCTGAAGCTCAGCGGAAGGCTTGTAACTGGAACGAAGTCGGGCAGCTAAGAGCAGTCGTGTGAGCCGCCGTATAACGGCGTCAGGCAGGAGGTTGCGCTCTAGAGAAGACAGCATTAAACGCACCGTAGCATTGTAAGGCACCTGTACTATCGCATCCATCTTTCTGATCTGCTTAAGGACTATGGAGAAGCAAAAATGGCCGCTGTGCACTTAAATTTCTCTTTTATGTTTCACTCTTACAATACAGGGGCTTATCTACAAGTTATGGGCAATGATGAAAGGAGAAAATTTTAAAGTACTACTTTCTTTAATAATTGAGTTTAAGTTACCTACATAATTGAGTTAATACCTAAAACCCCCTTAAACTAATCAGTTTTCTACACTAAACTATTTGGTGTCCCCAAAAGCCCCCCTGAAATATATTGTCCTTCATATTAAAACCCCCTCGTGGTGGAACTGGCATAATGTGTGTGAACACTCATATAACAAGCCATTAAAATGGTTCATATAACATAAAATAATGGCTAATTAGCCTAACCCTCATTCACATTTGTTTCTTTTTAATAAATATACTTCTTATCTCAGTTATATCCACCTTTCTTCCTCATTTTTTCACCATTCTTCCTTTTTTTAACCTTTCTTCTTTATTTTTCAGCTTCTTCTTCATTTTTTAAACTTTTTTCTTCAGTTCTCCATATGGGTTTTCTCTAAAATATTTCTCCCTCTCTTGTTTCCTCTGAAATTATTTATTCTCTTTCTTGCTTTAGTCTTCTTTCATGTCTTACACATATTGTTGAAAGAATACCAATTTAAATCTTCTTATTAAACTCAACACCTTGTAGAGAATAAAGTTTAATATCTTGAACCTTCTCTATGTAATTATAGAATTAGAGAATGTAATTGTTGGTCAACTAATTTTTTATTTGCGAAATTTTATTTTGTGTAATCTTTTTTTATGTAATATAAGGCGATTTTTAAGAAATGCAACACTATATGCCTTTATTTATATTTTTACTGTGCTACAAAGTGAATATAAATAAGGACTTATTCGATTGGAGTTTAGCATAAAGTACAATCACAATTAAACCTAAAATTAACACATGACATTAAATATTATTTTGGCCAAATTAAAACTCCTCAAATTAATTAATCATCTGGAAGTAATACATCACGAGTAAACTATATAAAAAAAACTTTTTACAAATTATAAGTTAATATAGTTAGACAGACGCATCTTTAAAAGTCTAACATAGGGTTTTAATATATAGGGTAATATAGTTCGGGGGGTTTTGGGGACACCGGATAATTTAAGTAGGTAAATGACAAAAAAGTAATTGTTTAGGCAGGTTTTTAGGCTGAGTTGAATAGCCACGTGTAGTGCTACATGACACGTTTTTTAAATAATTAGGAGTACTACAACGTACCTCTAAGAATGCAATGAGGAGTTTTTAATATGAAGGGCAATATAATTCAGGGGGATTTAGGGGTCACCGAATAGTTTAAGTAGGAAACTGACAAAAATATGATAGTTTAGGGGGATTTTAGGGTATTAACTCTACATAATTTTTTTTCTCCTCTAAGATCTGCCACCTTGCTTTTGGGGTGACTCGAACTCACAATATTAGAAGTGAAGCATGCTCATCACTTGAATAATATCTACTATTGTCTACGTGATTACAAATTTACAGTAAAAAACTTTTATACTACATCAATGAAGCAGTGCAAAGAGTATAGGAAATATTAAGAGTTAAATAAAATATTACTATTTTTTCCGTATTAATTTATATGCCATAATTTGATAGGACATGAAATTTAAGAAACATAAAAAAAATTAAAATTTATAATCTTGAAAACTTTAATAAAAAAAGATTTTATGGAATCTGCAATTTATGTCGCAAAAAAAAATTTCTCATTAAAAATAAAGTAAGTAAAAAGATAATTTTATTTAAATATAAACTAAATATATTATTCTTTTAGAACAAACAAATACAGAAAGTGGGTCCTATAAACAACACATACTGTACCTTCTTTTGGCAACTTTCCCTATTAGATCTTCTCGTGATACATAAAGTATAAAAAGGAGGTGTGGTCCAAAAGCGAAAACGTTTAGCTTGCACATACCAATTGATGATTTTTAAGAGCACTCTGTTCCCAGTAGAAACATTTAGCTTGATAAAAAATTTCACACTGCCACTATATAAAATTAAACTCAAGTTTAACTAAAATTTGCTATAAGAGCTAATATTATGAAAGGGGGGTTTTTCTCTTGAGGCTCACGTTACGCAAGGAATAGCTAATGTACGCCTTCTCCGATGACCCGCCGGAAACGATGCAATGAACTAGCTCTGGAAGCAGATACGATGGTGAGTTCAGAAAATAGGATGGTTACACCGGAATCCGGAGTTCCCCAAACCCTAGAACCACCTCAATTGGTTCACTGGATGCAAGGTATGGGGTGCGCTCCCACAATTTTGCAAGCTCCGACGAAAGAGGAACCAGTGAAGGTGAAAGAAGCTCAAAAACCAGTGGAAGCGGATGCGAATTTGGCAGCACAGAAGCTTACTTTCTCAGTCAATTCGCATGAAGCAAAGATCACCCTAGTAGATGTGGTGCGAGGGAATCGATCCATACATCAGGGATCGAAACTTGAATACTACCCACCGATTATGAAAGAAGGGATAAAAGTGGTCCGCCTCAATCAAATTGAAGTAGAAGAGGAAACTAGAAAGTGGAAATCAAGCTTGATTGGGTACGTATTAGGTGGTTTGCCGACATTCAAGGATATGTTGAAATTCGTCTATGGAGTTTGGCAATTTGTGGACACACCACAGGTATACCTGCATGATGCTGGATACTTTATATTCCGATTCCTGAATGATGAAGGTGTTAGAGTATGGGCCTTACACTTTCAATAATCGACATATGATCCTAAAACAATGGGAGACGGATTTTGATATTAGCAAAGAAACCAATCGAATTGTTCCTACTTGGGTAATCCTACCTGGGTTGCCGATTCAATATTGGGCAACTGAGAATTTGGGCAGAATTGCGAGCTACCTAGGAAAACCAGTATGCACTGATAAATTGACAGCACAAGGGGATAGAATCTCATATGCTAGAGTACTGGTGCACATAGACATTTCTCAGCATCTCCCTGAGCATATACTGATTGAGGATGAAAAAGGAGGATTCAAAGAGCAGAAGCTAGAATATGAATGGAAGCCCTCCTATTGTCAGGATTGTCTACAAATAGGACATATCGCTGGAAATTGCAAGAAGGAACAAGAGAATGAATTTAAACATGAGAAGGGTGAAGAACAGAACCGGAGAAGAAGAAGACAAACACAGAAAAAACAGCAAACAACCCAATGGAAAGTGAAAGATAATAAGACTCAACCACCAGAACAGGAACAATAGAAGGAAGAAGTCCTTAAGTAGGTTGAGAACAATATGAACAATGATGATCAAGGCAGAATAGTGAAAGGGAAGATGAGAATGGTGGCTCAAGGAGATGAATTGAAGGAAGGTGCCATGATTGATGAAGAAGTAGAGAAGCTGCTAAGCAAAAACAGATTCAGCTCGTTGAGAATTCAACCAAAAGAGATTACCAAAAGTGTGGAAAGGGACACTAGAACCTCTGATAAGTTTCCCCCATGATAGTTTGTTCATAGAACATCAGAGGGTTAAATAATCCCTTTAAGCAGAAGGAACTCAAGGCCTTCCTACTTAAGAATAAAGTGTCCATAATAGGGTGCCTTGAGACAAAAGTGAAAGATAAAAAAGTAGCTAAAGTGAAAAGGAAATTTGAAGGAGAATGGACAATTTATGCCAATTATACTGTAGCTCCTAAAGGGAGAATTTGGGTACTGTGGAAAGATCATCTAGTTGAAGTTCAGGTGGTTGTGGCAAGTTACCAGATGGTCCATTGTATAGTAAAAGATAGAGGTTCGGATTTCTCTTGTGAATTGACCTTTGTCTATGGCTACAACACAATTGCGAGAGGAAAGAAATGTGGAACCAGCTGAGAAGTCTTCATAATAATATAAAGGATCCATGGTTGGTGATGGGGGATTTCAACACAATTCTATCAGTAATGATAGAATGAATGGAAATCTTGTAAACCAAACAGAAGTTCTTGAATTTCAAAACTTTATAACTGATTTGGGATTGGGACAGCTGAACAGGAAGGGTTGGAAATGGTTATGGTGCAATACACGAGATGAAACAGATAGAATCTACAGTAACATTGATTGGGTGTTTGGGAATACTCAATGGTTCATGCTTTACAGTGAGATTGAAGCTTTCTATGATTGCCCTGGAGTATTAGACCATCCACCAATTATTATTAGCACTGTCAGAACCAAGCAGAGGCTGCCCAAGCCATTTAGATTATTCAATGCTATCCTACAACAGGGAGAATTCAAAGAAGTGGTACAACAGGTATGGTGACAGAATATAGAGGGGTATGCCATGTACTCGGTATGGAGAAAGTTGAAGATGATTGAGCAGAGTGCAAGACACATTAATAGGGAATTATCATCCTTGGATAGGAAGCTCAATATTATGAGAATTGAACTAGAAGATATATAGAAGCAGATGAGCACCGACTTATTCAATGGTCAGTTGATCACCAAGGAAAGAGATTTGCTACAACAGATAGAAAAAAGGGAAGGTATTCATGAGCAAATCTTAAGACAAAAGTCTAGGGCCACTTGGATCCAAGCTAGGGATTCAAACTGAAAAGTTTTTCATGCTCAAGTAAAAGCAAGGCAAGCTAGTAACAAAATAGGGTCTATATGCAATGAACAAGGTATTAGGTTGACTGAACCAAAGCTGGTGGAAAAGGAGTTTGTTCAATATTTCCAGAAGTTATTGGGAACCTGTGTAGATGAGTTACCTTGTCTGGATATCTATATTGTTAAGCTTGGTCCTTGCTTAACTAAAGAACAACAACTGGGGATGCTAAAACAGATTACAAGAGAAGAAATAGCTCAGGTAGTTAAGGAACTAGCAAATGATAAAGCCCCGGGCATTGATGGCTACTCAACTGAATTTTTTAAATACTATTGGGAGGATATTGGTACAGAGATTACAGAGGTAGTCTTGGAATTCTTTGCAAGTGGGAAATTATTAAAGAGTATAAACTGCACAACTGTTACTTTGGTGCCTAAAGTAGCAAGTCCTACTTATGTGAAAGAGTACAGACCAATTGCATGTGCACTACCTTGTACAAGGTGATAGCTAAAATTCTAACAGAGAAGCTGAAAACAGTGGTGGATTATGTGGTTGGGCCTGCACAGTCTACATTTATTGAAGGGAGAAACGTATTGGATAATGTAATATTGGCACATGAATTAGTCAAAAGGTTACACACAAAAAGGTGTATCCCCCAGATGCTTAATCAAGATAGATATAAGGAAGACATATGACTCAGTAGAATGGCCATACCTAAGAATGATTCTATTAGAATATGATATGCCAGTGAAGATAGTAGAATTGATAATGGAGTGCGTTACGACTGTGAGTTATTCATTGCTTCTTAATGGGGGTTTGACAACTAAATTCCAGGCAAGAAAGGGATTGAGACAGGGGGATCCTATGTCCCCCTACTTGTTTGTATTGGTTATGGAATACCTCAATAGAAGCTTGAAGACTCTTGATCAAATTCCAGATTGTAATTACCATCCAAGGTGTGCCAAACTCAAAATAACACATATTTATTTTGCAGATGACTTGATTATGTGTTGCAGAGCTGATAGAGTATCAATACAGTTAATGCTAAAGGCATTTCATCACTTCTCTGGAGTAACTGGGCTACAGGCTAATATGGAAAAATGTTCTTTATATGTCGCAGGAGTAACTGAGGAGTTCAAGAACTTGATTCTCTCTAAAATGCACTTTATATTAGGAGAATTCCCATTCAAGTATTTGGGAGTGCCACTGTCAACAAAAAAGTTATCAATAGTTCAATGTATGCCACTGGTAGAAAGAATTATAGCAAGAATCAAGTGCTGGACCACCAAGTTTCTATCATATAGTGGCAGGCTGCAGTTGATCAAAAGTGTCCTATTCGAAATGCAAACATATTGGGCACAGGTATTTCTACTACCAAAGAAGATAATTGACATGGTTACTACTGCTTGTAGGACATTCCTTTGGACATGTAGCAATGAGATATCAAAAAGATCCTTAGTGTCATGGGAGAAACTCTGTATGCCAGATTCAGTTGGAATTTTAGGGATCCTGGACTTCTACTCATGGAACAAGGCTGCCTTATGCAAGATGCTATGGGCCATCAGCACAAAAAAGGACATACTTTGGGTAAAATGGATTTCATAACTTTTATATTAAGAGGAGAAATTTCAGCATAATGTCAACACCAAAGCAAGCCTGCTGGATTATCAGGAAAGTGTTTGATACAAGAGAATGGTTTGAGGCTATAAGTGCAACAGGAGATATCAATGAATTTTGCAAGCAAGGGAAGTTTAGCATCAAGACAATGTATATAGCAGCAAGGCCTCAATTTCAGAAAGTTACATGAAGAATCTTGTGCTGGGAGATGTTACTATACCAAGGCATCGATTTTATTCTGTGGCTAGATCTCAACCAAAGGTTAGCAACAGTGGATAGATTGACAAAATGGAAGATTGATGTGCCAAAGGAATGTGTGTTATGCACTAGCCAGAAAGAAGAGACGCTGGATCACCTTTTCTTTGAATATGCTTATGCTAGATCAATATGGGCTGCATTAGTAGGCTGGTTGAAAGAAAAACACAACGTTGGAAGATGGGAACAGGAATTAAAATGGCTGATCAAGAGGACAAACAACAGTAGACCACGAGCTCAAGTTCTCACATTTTTATTTGCAGCAACAGTTTATTACACATGGATGGAGAGGAATAAAAGAAGATTTCAGAACCAGTGTATTACATATGCAGAAAGAGTTCGAGAAATAGCTTTGCAGCTGCATATCAAAGGCCAGAACAGGAGCAAATGGAAGTCAATGTTAGAACAATTAAATAGATATCCTAGTGGAAATAATGTATAAATCAGGAAGAGATTAGGAAAAGTACATAACTGTAGTTATAAGAATAGAAAGACTGTAAAGGATCTAGCTCTAGAGTCCCGTGAGCTAGCGGATGTAAATATTTCCATTGGTTAAATACAAAATTTTTAATTTGACCAAAAAAAATTGCTATAATTCTTATTCAAAATTCTACGTAATTATACAATTGAGAAAATTATCTCATTTATCTTTTTCTTTAATTTTTCTCGACACGCATTTTTTGTGAAAGTTTTTATATGAGCAATAAGACATAGGAGTGATAAATGATGAAAAATGTATGATTTTGGGTATAACTTTATATCATTTTGTATGTGAGTTGGGGGATATTATATGTTTATAAACATATAATATGCTCGTTACATTTTTATTGTGTGTAGGAATGAGTTAGGATGGAAGTTGGTGAAAATCCGATGATTTGATGCAAGAAGAAGTTGTGAGTTAAGAGCTGGATAGGGGTGTACATAGGTCGGGTTGGTTCAGATTTTTCAATTACCAAACCAAACCAATTGTGTCGGGTTATTAAATCTAAAGACAAAACCAAACCAATAATAGCCGGGTTTTTTAGTCTCGATTTTTCTCGTATTTTTCGGATTTTCGGATTTTTTTCATAAAGTCTTCATAGCACAACACATCGAATTAGTGCTCCAAATATTTCTTTAATCCTAATAAGACAGAACTATATAAGGTGTTTTTCAATAAAATAACATAAATATGAGATGAGTCATGGCATTGTACTAAAATAAACAACAAGAAAGATAATAAAATCGCATAAAATAAATATTATTAATAAGTCATAATGAAAACAAACATAATTTAAAATTACTAAGTTGCTAAAATAATTACGACTAATAAGTACTATTCTTTACATGACTAAACACTAAAATAAAAATAAATTATGCATTTTATCTAAACCATGGGAAAACTAAGAAATAGATATCCAACACTATTTTCATTCATAGTACTATTGAATTGAATGTGTTTTATTAGTATTAGTATTGATTTGATTTTGGTCTAGGATTTATTTGAGTTACTACCATTTATGGACTACAAAAATTATTGGAGCATCCAAAAATTATATGTCCAAGCTTGAAATAATACGTTAAAAGATAAGACTATGAAAAAGTTTAAGAAGTATTTATAAACTACACTATTATAAATATTTTTATGTATTAAACATGTTCAAAACTTCTATAGATATAATGTCGGGTTGGTTTGGTTTCGGTTTGACTTTTTTTGGTTAAAACCAAACCAAACAAATTATGGTCGGCTTTTTTCTTCCAACACCAAACCAAATCAACCAAACCATAGTCGGGGTTTTTTCCGGTTTGACTCGGGTTAGGGTTGGTGCGGT